TCACAGCTCTGTAATGATCTGTAATTGTTTGTGTGCAGGCAGCTAAAAATCACCCTGATAGGTCCCACATTGCAGACCCTTTGGAGAGGAACTGCTGTAGCCCCACGGGTAACACTGAAAATATGCATGTTTTTCTGTTTAACATTGAAACTCAGGTTTAGTATGAAAAATTCGGTGTCACCTTTCTGAAGCTTCGTGCTCATGCACAGAACAACTTCTTATTTATGTGCAAAACTTGAACCTGACCGCAAGATAATCACAAGAGATGGCTCTTAAAGGAAATCGAGCATCTGTTTCTTTGTTACTTTTTTTTTCTGTATTCCTGATGCTCTTAATAAGACTGGAACTTTGGATACTTGAATTTTCTGTGTAATTGAAATAATTTAAACATTGAGATAGTGCAGAAATAAAAACCAGTAGAGGTGAGGAGAAAAGCTTAGCTGGTGTTGTGTAATGAGAAGAAAATGATAACTCAAAAATCTCTATATTCTGACCTGTACTCAGAATAAAAACTTGCTGTTTTCAGTGTTGTACAGCTGGGCTTGCTATCGCTGCTGTAGTGAAGTACATGACTTAACAGGCATCTCCTACCTTAACATATTTACTTTTATTTGTTACCTTCACTTCATATTGCTTACATTTGTGATGGCTGCTGTGGAATCCCTACACCTTCTTTTTGTAGCATTTGTGTGCCCTGAAGTTAAACCTTGTTTAACTTATTCGGAAATAATTCTCTTGCGTGCAGAAATCCGCACGAGCTGGAGTTCATTCTCTCCTGGGAGATTTTAGAAAGGAAGATACTTCAGGCAGCTCTGGGCATGAAATCTTATCCATTTATGGCCCCCTGCCCCTCTTCTGTCCCTGCTCACATCTGGCAAAGACAATGGATGCTGCTGCTGGACAAGGAGCCCCTGGGATGAGCGGGGTGGAAAACCAGTGAACTTTGTCTCAAATCAGCGAGGCAGGGCTCTGTCACCATGTGCGTTCTGTGTGTCCCCATTGCTCTGCTTGGAGCCTTGGTTTTGCTTTGATTAAACATTTCTGGGTTTTGGTTTTGTGTTTTTTATGATGCCAGTTGACAAAGCTGCCCTGCACGCAAAGCGTTGCGGTGTTTTTAGAGGGATGTCACGAATCGAAAGCAAAGCGGAGCGTGAGTTAAAGTGGACTGGGAGTGTGTGATGGGCTGAAAACTGGATGGCTGATGTTGAGCAAAGGAGCCTGCCCAGAGCTGGGGGAACACCCAGAAATATTTATATTCAAGCTTCATGAAATTGAAGTTTAAACCAAATAAAGAGTCCTGCTCCTTTCCCTTCTATTCCTTTCCTTTCTTTCTCCACCAGTCTGAATAAAACTTTCACTTGCTTGCAGTATTTTTTTATATTTTAAGAGTTTTGAGTTGTTGCCTTTTTAATTTATAGTTTATTTTTTTTTCACTGTGAAATCATTTGTCTTGCTTCTTCTTAAATCTGTGTTTAAACGTTAACTTCTTATTTTGAAGGGTGTGATCAGAGTGTGATTCTTTATTTTCTTCCTGGAATCCTTTCTCAGTTTACAGTTTCTATAACTGATGTGACAAATCTTTGCTGCCTTACCATACATTATACTGTGGTTAAGTGTCTCTGTCCCGCCCTTAATTAAATCCAATGGTTTACTTTCGATTCTAATCCAATTAATGAACTATAATAGCTGGTTCTGGACTTAATAGAACTGGTCAAAAGTTTTCCAAACTGCCCACACAATGTAAATCCCATCTGGAAATTAGCTTTTCTTCTGACCTGGAATGAATGCAAGTATGCACAAGCATTCCTGCAAACTGGAAATCTAAAGTATGTTGTGGTTGTACGTATTGATGAAAAAATACCAATCTTGAAACTACTACAAAGGCATTTAGTTTTCAACTCTGATTTTTTTAATTTTAATTTAATTTCATTTTTGTGGGTGTTTTTTTTGTTTTGGGGGGTTTTTTGGGGTTGTTTTTTTGGGTGAGTTTTTTTTCAATGTGGCATCCCAAGAGGAGCTGCCTGGTGGTGCCCCAGCAATAGTTACAGGCACTAGGGCAGACACTGTGCAGTGAGGAGAAGAGATTGGAGTGTCTGCAAGTGTCGATCTGCCTCGCTGCAAGAGGAAAAAAGAACAGGATGTTTCCTGCTGAATCATTTAGGAGCACTTGAAAATGCTTTGGTGCGCTTGTGTATGACACCAGGACCTGCATGTTACGGGGAAATGTAGAAATAGCACAGGAAAACGCAAATGTGGAAACAGGAAACGTAGTCCCAGCGTGGAAGGTTGGGATTTGGCAATGGAATTCTCAGATTTTCCAGCACTGGGTTCCTGAGAGGAGAACACACGTTTCAGTCTTTCTGTGAGGCACATTTGCAAGCTGCTCAGCTTTTGAGAACTCTGCATGTCATAAAATTTTTCTGATTAAAAGAACACTGACAAAAGACTTCTGGCCTACCTAAAAAATCTTTAGAGCTGTTTCCCTCTCCTCTCCATTTCTGCTGACCCCAGTCACTCATGCTGTCAGGATTGTTTAGGAATACCCTTTTCCAGGAATACCATTTTCCAGGAATACCATTTTCCAGTGTTCAGGGTTGTTTCCTGATGAAGAAATAAATGGCAGAGAAGAAGAAATACCCTGCTGATGTGCTGGAGGCAGCCAGGGAGTGCTGAGAGCAAGGTGACATTCGCAGGCAGGCTGGGTTTAGGTGTGTGCAGTCCCTCCTTAGCAGCACATGGCAAGACACAAGGACTGACCAACCCTGTGCTGCTCTGGATTAATATCATGTTGGTTTTTTTTTTTCCTCTGCTACCCACATCACTCCTGTAGAGGTTTGGATTTTGTGCTGTTCCAGAGGTGCGGTGATGGGAGATCCCAAAATTCCAGAGCTGCCTGTCACAGGTTGTGCTTTGCTGTCACCTCTGTCCTGAAAAAAGGGGGTGACTGACATCCCTGCTCCGTGGCAGCCTAGACTGGGGGTGCTTTAGCCAGCAGTGACCCAGCCATGAGTCACCCAGCACGGACACTTTCTGTCCTGGCTATTTTTGGGCTCGGTAATTACGAGGTGAGCCGTGAATCACCGGTGGCGTCTCGCTTTACGCCGGGAGGAAACCAGGCAAATTGTGCTAACGTGCTTGGCAGGGGGAATTAATTCTTGTTCTCTGGTGTTTTACAGACTTTGGCCCTTCTTCTTGTTCCCCAGAGGGATGTGCTCACCCCTCCTCATGCGTAGCTGTCACGCAGGGCCAAGCAAGGGCTGAACTCGTGTTCCGTGCAGCTGGGTGTTGTCTTCTGGGCAGAAATGATGCTTCAGAGGCCTGGATGGGATTCTGAAGGGGTCCCAAAGGCTTTTATTGATTTGTTCATATGCTCTGCATAGGCAGGGTTTAGGTTAGAGAATAGCATGAAGTGGGTAACTCCAAGGGAGGCCGTGTTGTCTTTGGCCTCTCCAGCAGCTGGCCTTGCGGTGTTTGTGGCATCTGGAGGGATGTTTGTGCCCTGAGGCTCTGTTTGCTGTGTTGTGTGGTGCACAGCAGAGCCAGGGGGAAATAGCTGACCCCTTTTGAGAAGGGTTTGGTGATGAGTCAAGAGAGGGACATGCAGGGTTTTTCTCCTTCTTTATAAGGGATGGAGCTTGTGATGGCGTTAAACCCCCTAGCAGGGAGAAACGTGTGCAGGGCGTTCTGCACAAGCAGCACTTCAATCCCATCCCTCTGAGCTGATAGATTCACCTGTAGCCCTGCTTTAATTCCTTCATACCTTTGTTTTCCTTCCCAGCTCAGCTTTACAATTCAGCATTCCTGTTAAAAGCCTGTCTCCAAACACTTCCTCTCGGATACGGGAAAACCAAGGGTGTGTTTTTGCACCCAGGAATCCCCAGGCTGGAAAGGAGCCTTCTGGGGATCAACAGGCTGTTGGAGGAGGATTAGGGATGGAGGCACTGTAAACCTGAAGGAATTTGAAAGCCATGCTTTAATTTAAGAGGAATGTCCTTTTGTTCTCAAATGGATGGGCCTTGCTCCAAAGGTGTTCAGGTGCGGTAACTGGTACCAGATGGGCTGTGGAAAGCAACACAAACAGGTGGTGAGGACAGCAACTGCAGACTTTAATTTCCCTGTCAGCCTCTCTCTGTGCCTTACACACCCCCTGAAGAAGAGAGGGATAGGGGGAGCTGTCATATTTATCCATGGCAAAAGGAGTGACTTTTGGGGGGGTGTTCTTATGTACATAGCAGGTCAAGCCCTGGCACTCAGTGGTGGCACTCACCTGGACCAAGGTGTGCAGGGATGAACTTAGAATATGATTCCCTAGCTTGTGCATTTTTATGGAGTCAGGGATCAATCCACTTTAATGCTGACATGAATATTGGCTCAGGTCCCCCCAGGGTAATGTGGATTTTTTGGTGGCACCCCACACATACTGGTGTGATCCAGTATGTTGATTAATTTCTGAGTAAATGCAAACCTGGTACAAAACAATACATGCTCTTATGGGTGGTTGTTCAACACCTTGCTAGGCTCAGCAAGGCAAGGAGAATGCTGCAGAGGGCACAGCTGCTCCTCACTAGCAGCATCCAAGAGTGTGCTCTTACCCCAGAGAGCTGTGTTACGTCCCAGTCAGAGCACTCCTTGGAAATCTGAAGCAAAGAGAACAGGGCTTTGTGATTCTTTGCTGTCAGAAAAGTTTTCTGGGATTGTGAGGAATGGGGAGATGAATTTTGGGCTTTTTTGCTGCTTTTTAGAGATAAGGAAGCTGAGAGCTGGGGTAGCTTAAGAGATCTGGCACAAGTCTTACACAGTGGAATTGAAAAATAAATGCTTGAGATTGGTGCACTTTCCATCTCCTCTTCATGTGGGGAGTAACCCAGCATGGTTAATGTATTAAAATTGTGCAAGCCCCTTCCTAAGCCCTTTCCCTCTTGAAACCATTGAGGTCGTTCACCCTGTGGCTGTGGGCTTGTGGCTTTCTCACTTTTCCCATCCCCAATTGTCTCTCCTAGATGATCAGCTGAACTCAGAAGAGAAGAAGAAAAGAAAGCAGAGGAGGAACAGGACTACCTTCAACAGCAGCCAGCTGCAGGCACTAGAGAGGGTCTTTGAGAGGACTCACTACCCCGATGCCTTCGTACGGGAGGACCTTGCACGCAGAGTCAACCTCACTGAGGCCAGAGTTCAGGTAATCCCATGATTCAGGTGATTCCCACCTCACCTAGGGGATCATTGGGTCACTCCAGCAGGGCAGCAGAAATTCTTGGGGTCTGTCTGTGTGCCACACCAGGGTCACCAAACTCCTGGCTCCACCATAACTTGAGGGAGACTGCCAGGCCTGACTTGCCCTCCATCCACCACCTGCCCCACCAGATGTGTCCATAGGGCCAAGCTGTTGGATGCTCAGGCTGCTGATGTTACCTTGAGCTCTCAGCTTGCAGGCCTGCACCTTCTGCAGGTGACAGCAGACTGTAGAAGATGGTATGTTGGACAGCACTGCCAGGCCTTGCTGCCATCTCTTGTATTTGTGGGGTTCCCAGAGGAAGGGACGAATGATGAACCTGACTCCATGTTCTTAGAAGGCTAATTTTATTATTTTAAGATATAATATATACATATACTTGTATATATAATATATATCATATATATAATATATTTTTATATATCATATCATATCCATCATATCATATTTATATGTTATTTATTATATTAAAGAATTCTATACCAAAACTATACTAAAGAATACTAAACTATACTAAAGAATACAGAAAGGATACTTACAGAAGGCTAAAAGATACTAAAATAGACTTGTGACTCTTTCCAGAGCCCCAACACAGCTTGATCATAATTGGCCAATAAGTCAAAACAATTCACTTGAAACCAATCAAATATGCACCTGTTGGACAAACAATCTCCAACCGCATTCCAAAGCAGCAAAACACAGGAGAAGCAAATCAGATAATTATTGTTTTCCTTTTTCTCTGAGGCTTCTCAGCTTCCCAGGAGAAAAATCCTGGGCAAAGAGGATTTTTCCAGAAAAGATGACTGCCACAGCCATCTGCACAGGACACAGCCATGTCCCTCAGCCAGCCCCTCACCTGAGGGCTTGATCAGAGCAGGCACCAGGATTATCCCGTCCTTAGGGTTCCCAGTGCCAGCCTGGGATGCAGCCAGCTTTGGGGATGGGGATGGGGATGGGGATGGGATCCCATGGGGACGTGGCCAGTGGCAGAGCAGATGTGACGGTCGGTGTCCCTGCGTGTCCCCCTGCAGGTGTGGTTCCAGAACAGGAGAGCCAAGTTCCGCCGGAACGAGCGCGCCATGCTGGCCAGCAAGAACGCCTCGCTGCTCAAATCCTACTCCGGGGACGTGGCGGCCGTGGAGCAGCCCATCGTACCCCGGCCCGCCCCCAGGGCCACCGACTACCTGTCCTGGGGCACCGCCTCGCCCTACAGGTAAGGGAGGGACACAGGGACCCAGGGAGGAATGGACAGACTGACTGACAGACTGACTGACCCCACTGTGCCACCCCAAAAGCACCCTCAGACAGCTCTGATTCATCCACACCTGGAGGATACAGCAGCCTGACCATCCCACTGGTTCTCCTCACCTGTTCCCACCCATCTTATTGTATTTGGGTTGCCCCAGATGTAGGAAGGGATGATGAATCTGATGTAGGAAGGAATGATGAATCTGACTCCATGTTCTCAGAAGGCTAATTTATTATTTTATGGTACTATAATATATTAAAGAATACTAAACTATACTAAAGAATACAGAAAGGATACTTACAGGAGGCTAAAAGATAACAATAAAACTCGTGACTCTCTCCAGAGCCCTGATACAGCTTGGCACTGATTATCCAATAAGTCAAAATAATTCAATGCAGAAACCAATGAAACAACCACCTGTTGGATAAACAATCTCCAAACACATTCCAAAGCAGCAAAACACAGGAGAAGCAAATCAGATAAATTATTGTTTTCCTTTTTCTCTGAGGCTTCTCAGCTTCCCAGGAGAAAAATCCTGGGCAAAGGGATTTTTCAGAAAATATGAATGCGACACCATCCCATTGCCAGTGTGGTCCCAGCTTGGTGTTGTTGTGTCTTTCTGGCAGCTTCTGGGGGTCTCTCTCTGCAATTCAGTTTCTAGAGAGGCTCAGGTAGAAATGCATGGAAACAGAAGGTTTTCCCCAGTGCATCGGGTTTATAGCAAGGAGGAAACCTTTCCATGGGACGCAGATCCAGGAGAGGGGCTCAGAGCACTTGGGGAAGCTCAGCCAGCGCACAGTGGCCAGAAGAGGGAGTTCTGTGGCTGTCCCTCTGCTGGGGATGGCAGCAAGGCCGGGAGCTCACTCCATCCCCGTGGAGCTCTCAGCACAGGGCTGCTGAGCAGATCTTTTATTCCCTGAGCCCAGGGGTATGTGTGTATGAGCACTGCACTGTGGTCACCCTGCAGGAAGGGCCAGGTGACAGACTGGAGCTCAGTGTCCACCCCCTGTGCTCAGTGCTGCTCAAGGGATGGCAGGAAGGGAGCAGGGCTGTGGCAAGGCCAGCCTCAGAGGGTCTGGGATGTCTGTGCCATCACAGTGCTCCCTGTCCTCTCCGTGCCATCGCTGGCTCTGCAGGAGCTGGGTGTGGACACGAGCTCCACAGGATGTGTTGGTTTGTGGGGAGCCAGCTGGCTCACAGGCAGTTAAAAAGGAGCTTGGAGGGTGTTTTTTAGCACAGTGGCTTCATTGTTGGTCAGGACCATGAAGCCTTTGGCTGGATTTCTTCCTGTTCATCTGGCCTGGTCACTGCCAGCTTCCCCCTGCCCTCCAGGAGCCACACCGTGCTCAGGACCTCTCTTGCTGGGTCACCTTGACCCTCTTTTTGCTCCAAGCATTGTTTGCACAGCAAGAGCTGCAAACACATGGTCTGGTCTTCCTGCTTGCTGCTTCAGGTCTGGGGGGTCCTCCTCATCCACCCTTTATGTCCAGAAGAACAAGTTGTAGGCCCACCCACGGCAGATATGGGAAAGGATGCTTTTGGTGGCCACCAGCTGCATCTTAGAAATGGCCCCTATGGATTTTTTCTGAGGACTGCTGGCTGTCAAAATCCCTCTTTTATGGATTAAGGCTTTCTCCCTGTGCAGTGCTCCTTGCTGTAGCATTCTGAGGAGGTGCGGTCAGGGAAGGGAAGGGAAGGGAAGGGAAGGGAAGGGAAGGGAAGGGAAGGGAAGGGAAGGGAAGGGAAGGGAAGGGAAGGGAAGGGAGTGAGTTCCTTCCCCAGCCCAGTGGGACTGCACTGGTCACAGCACCAGATCCCTCCTCAATGCTCGTGGCTTATTTCCACCTCTCACACTTCTAAAAAGAGATCCTCCCTCCTGAGATGATGTTTACACGGGGGGCTTCATAATCACTGCTAGGAGAACATCAACTAGGAGATCCATAATCACTGCTGGGAGAACATGAACTAGGAGATCCATGATCACTGCTAGGAGAACATGAACTAGGAGATCATAATCCCTGCTAGGAAAACATAAACTAGGAGATCATAATCCCTGCTAGGAAAACATAAACTAGGACATTCATAATCCCTGCTAGGAGAACATGAACTAGGAGATGCATAATCACTGCTGGGAGAACATCAACTAGGAGATCCATAATCACTGCTAGGAGAAGCCCCTGCAAAGGTAACTCCTAAGGGTACCTGGGAAGGGCTGTCTGAGGTCACCTGCAGCACCTGGGATGTGCTAATGAGAACAGGGGAGAAGGGACAGCCTTGGGGATGGTTTTCCAGCCTCTCAGCTCCAGGCTGTGCCCGTCCAGGATGCAGACACACCTTGCCCTAGTCTTGTCTGCAGCCAGGATATTTCAGCAAAGGCATTTATTTGCAGCTGAGCAGCTGCTTTCCACACTCTGGGGTGCACAGCACCCTCAGACACTCCGTGCTCCCCTGGGTTTCTGATCCTTCTGCCCCTCTCCTGGCAATCACACTCATCTGGAAGGGTCTCAGCCTCATCAAAGCTTTGCAGTAAGGTCATTCAGATATTCAAACAGTGAAACCCTGCAGCCATGTGGAGTGTTTGCATGGCCCCTGCCCCCTGCCCATCTTCCCAGCAGGGCTGGAGCAGCCCCTGATTAGCAGCCACTCCTGGGGAGGGCCCAGAGCAGCGTGGCCAGGGCTGGTTTCCCTCTCAGATCTGGGAAAAGTTTTCAGTCCCTGTGTTTATTCTCCAAATACACTCAGCCACAGGTCAACCAAAGCTATTTGCAGATCTCTGTCACACAGACAGCCAAGTAGATACTATGCTTTTTTTTTTTTTTTTTTTTTTTAAGTTGAGAAATGTTTTACTTAGGCATTTTTCAGCCTAGGTTCCTAAGAAAACAGGACTGGCAGCCCACACCTCCCACTCCAGCAACCTTTGGCTCCATGGGCCACTGAAAACTTGTTTGAAAGAAGGATTTTAGGCCTCAGAAACATGATGCTCCTCTGTGTTTCATGAAACCAGGCAGCTGAGTGGAGGAAGGAGAATTTTCTCTGCCTGAATGGGGTGGAGGGAGGGGGCAGCAGGGTGACTTCAACCCTTGTTAGGCCCTGGGGAGTCTCTGGAGCAACCCTCAGGCTGTTGTGGTGTTTGGACACAGCCTTCTTGTGCACTGCTCCTGCTGGAATAACCTGATGGAAGGAAGCACTTGTAGAGATTTTTGGTTTAGCAGGGATTTCACTTGACATCTGTAAGTGAAACCATCCTCACACCTCTGGGGAGCTCCCAGAGCCTCCCTGGAGTTTCAGCTTCAGGCCAGCAACGTGGTTTAGAATGGGGACAGTTTCCCTGACTGAAAACTCCTATTTTGTCTAGTTTGGAGTACCCTTGAAGGTCTCCAAATTTCTTCCAACTCAAAAACATGGGTGAGATGTGTGATGGTGTTCACAGGGGTTCTTGGATTGGGGAAGAGATGAGGATCTGACTCCATGTTTCAGAACGCTTGATTTATTATTTTATGGTATATATTACATTAAAACTATATTAAAAGAATAGAAGAAAGGATTTCATCAGAAGGCCAGCTAAGGATAGAATAGGAAGGAATGATGACAAAGCTGACTGTGATTGGCCATTAATTAGAAACAACCACATGAGAACAATCACAGATGCACCTGTTGCATTCCACAGCAGCAGATAACCATTGTTTACATTTTGTTCCTGAGGCCTGTCAGCTTCTCAGGAGGAAAAATCCTAAGGAAAGGATTTTTCATGAAAAGATGTCTGTGACAGAGATGCACCCTGTGGAAGCAGATGGGCATGGGGGATTAACTGGAGACCTTGTGGAGCTTTGTACCCTCCAAACTTGGGGGGTGAGGAGACCAAGCAGCCCAGCCATGGAGAGGGAATGACGGGGTGCAGTTGGTTCAGAAGAGCTCCAGAAACAACACATCCACATGTTCTGGATGCTGGTGAAATGCAGATATCCCCTGCTGTGGGTCTCCTGCAGACTGAGGGTTCACACAGCACTGGGTGGCAGATAAACTCCTGGCAGATAACCTCCCAGAAGGTCAGAAATACTCCTGAAATACTCCAGAAATGCTTTCTGACCTTCTGGGAGGTCCGAAATACCAGCAGCACCTCGGGGTGAGCGGGCACAGCTCCAGGCTGGGTCTGTGCAGCAGTGCCTGCAGGGAGATTTGCTGTTTGCATTTCCAGTTGTGGAGATCGGTGCTGGAACGATTTAAAAAATAAAATAACATTAAAATAAAATAAAATAAAATAAAATAAAATAAAATAAAATAAAATAAAATAAAATAAAATAAAATAAAAACAGATAAAGGAAAAGACAAAAAGGCAAACAATGCCAGCCCATCCTGGTGTTTTGGTGTGTGGATGGAGCAGAGCATTTCCCTGACCAGCAGGGCAGGCAGATGGGAAAGGTCAGCACCAGAGCTGAGCTGGCCTCCAGCAGAGCATTTGGGCATTCCTCCTGAACACTGTGTTAAATGGGCACCTCCACTTCATGTGGTGCTTCTCAGCTGGTTGTGATCTGTGGGCCATGCAAAGGAAATGCAGCAGGTCAAACACTGTGCTGGGTTTTGGGGAGTTGGCAGGGGGAGCTGCTTTTCACAGAAACCCAAGGGACGCATGGATTGAACAAGTTTTCTAGTGGTCTGGAAAGCAGCTTTGCAGATTTTTTGGTAGGATAAGAAAGGAGTTGGAGATCTTTGTTCAGGCTCTGCTGTCAGAAGTGATGTTTTTCATGAATAAAGTCACAGTTTGAAGGGGAGACAGAGTGGTTTATGCTTTGGGTTTCTTCCTTCAGCCTTCAGGACATGCTCTTTATAATCAGCTGAAGTTTTGAGGAGGGAAAAAATGTGGAAATTTTCATTCCAAAAGGCTGAAACAAGAAAACATCCCAATTGTTGAAAGGGGTTTTTCCCAGAGTGTTGCTTTAATGTAACATGTGTTTCAGAAGTGACGTGATTTTACAGGCTGTAAAACCAGCAATTGGTCTCATCAAACAGACACTGCTTCCACTGGGAATACTTTTAAGGACAATGGTCTAACTGGCAGGCTGACCTCATTGCAAACCTTTTTTTTGGGTTAGAAAATAGGAAGTGGAAATTTTTCCCGTTGAGCTCTGGTGCTGGGTGAGTGAAGAGCAGCGGAAAGATTTGCTAAATAAAGGGGAGTGGTAATTCCCTGCTGACACCGCAGCAGGATTACATCCCTCAGGTATGGAAAAAACCCAGAATTTGGGCTCTGCTGTGGTTTGGAGTCTGACGTGATGTTTCTCTTTCCATCCCTCAGTGCCATGGCCACCTACTCTGCCACGTGTACCAACGCCAGCCCAGCACAGGGCATGAACATGGCCAACAGTATTGCCAACCTGAGACTGAAGGCAAAGGAATATAGTTTACAGAGGAATCAGGTGCCCACAGTCAATTAACAGCTGGGGGCAGCTGCCTTGCAGAAGGAGAAGACACAGCAGCGCCCGTCCTGCTTTGCAACTTGTCTGTGCTGAAAGAAAAAATAAAAGAAAAAGAGAACAGCAACAAGAAGAAGAAAACACCATCAAGATAAAAGAGAAAAAAAAAAAGAAAAAAATAAAAAGAAGGAAAAAAAAGCCAACCCTCACCCAGAACTGAACACGGGGAGCAAACAGAACCTGTGAGTGATCAGGTTCCTCCTTCCTTTTGGGATAATGCCACCGTTTTTTATTTTCTTGTTATCGTCGGGTTTATTGCTTCTGCTCAATATACTGCGAGCTTCTTCAGTAAAGGACAGTCTCACCCTTGCTGGTTTCCATTTTTGTGAGGGACTGCACAAAGAAACCTCTGCCAGTCTCAGCCCACGGAGCAGTCCCAGCCCCAGCACGCTGAGATCCAAAGCTTGCTCATCTCCCCGCTGCCCCAGCTCACCCTAGAAGAAGAAGAATTTGTTTGGTCACCGATTCCCACCCCACCCTGATCCCTCCAGTCCCTTGTGCCACAGAGGCAGCACGTTCCTCTCAGCCTGCCAGAAGCCCATTTAGTGCAGCGAGATGGATTCCTGCTGGCTGAGTTGCCTGGAAAACCTCCCTGGGCTCTGCAGGGCTCCACTGTTTGGTTGAGTATTCCCTGCACTGCTGCCTCAAAAAGCCAAAGAAGAGAGCAAAGCCAACATGGGGGGTGTGTGAGCAGGGGGATCTCTCTGTAGTGCCAAGATCAGGACTGTCAGGACACTCCTTCCTATGCCTTACAGTTTGTGCCACAGGGAAAGGCGTTGTCCAGATGCATTTGTTTTATATATACTGTATATATTTATATATATAAGATAATACATGCAAGCTTGGTTGGTGTTTTTTATTAAACGAAATAAAACCCGTTGAAAACCTTCAGGATGTTTGTGCTGCGTCCAGGTGGAGCTGTGCATTGAAATTCCAGCCACAGCCTCTCTCAGCCTTGGCAGAGCTCTTCCCTGGGCAGCTCTGGGAAAGGCAGCTCGTGAGAGTTTCCATGAGGAGCCCCAAAGGAGTGGTGCTGGAGGGAGCCACACTCCCTTTCTGCAGGTTTTCCCCATGGGCAGCTGCACAGAACACAGCAAGGGTCTCCCCTGCTGGTTCCTGTGGCTTTTGGGATATCCCAGGGAAATCCCTCTGGGCACAAGGGATGTCTCAGTAGGGAGCATCCCACCAAAGATCCCTAAACATGCTCAGTAAGGCTTGTCCCATCACCTTAACCATTCCCCCTACCTGCTGTCCTCCCTCTGGGCTCTGGAGACTTAATTAGCACCTAATTAATTTATCTCCACGAAGAGCAGAGGAGATGCAGCCCAAAAGGAATTTCTTCCATGTGACCATGTTCACAGGGATTCTTGGATTGGGGAAGAGACGAGGATCTGACTCCATGTTTCAGAAGGCTTGATTTATTATTTTATGGTATATATTACATTAAAACTATACTAAAAGAATAGAACAAAAGGTTTCATCAGAAGGCTAGCTAAGAATAGAAAAGAAAGAATGATAACAAAGGCTTGTGGCTCAGACAGAGAGTCTGAGCCAGCTGACTGTGATTGGCCATTAATTACAGACAAACCAACATGAGCCAATCACAGATGCACCTGTTGCATTCCACAGCAGCAGATAATCAATGTTTACATTTTGTTCCTGAGGCCCCTCAGCTTCTCTGGAGGAAAAATCCTAAGGAAAGGATTTTTCTTGAAAAGATGTCTGTGACACTTCCACACAAACATCCTGAGGAAATCAGGATCTTCCTCATTGCTGGCAATGCCTGTCTCTCATGTCTGGGGGAGGAAGAGGGGTTGATTTGTGACAAACAGCACTTGTGTCCAAGCTGAGATGGGCAAGGCCATGGCACAGCCCCACTGAAGGCAGCAGAGCTGCTCCATGGCCCAGGCTGGACCATCAGGGAAGGAGGATGGAGCTCAGCCATGAGAAATACCAGAGTGGCTTGGCTCTCCAGCCTGGTGGTTGCTGCAGACACCCTGGGCATGTGGAGATGTCTGCCAGTGGGCTCTGATAGTCTACAACAGCATGTTGCAGGAAATGAGGAATAAATCTCTTTAAGGTGTAGGTGAAAATTAAACTGGCAGAGGATGAATGGAAATCCAGCCAAAATATTTGAGCTAGCACGAGGGAAAAAGCCCCACATCCAAACTGGAGTGAGTTGTGGCTGTGATCGTATGCATTGCTGCTGAATTTTTTTTTTTCCTCTCAATGTGGGTATTTTTGAGGGAAAAACCCCTAATTTTGATCAGGACAAAAAGCTGAAAGTCACAAGCAGAACCAGGAAAAGGGAGGCAGGGTGAGTACTGTGCTTTAAGAAATCCATCACGTTCTGTTTGATCCCTTTTCTTGGAGAGCCTCACATGTGTGTAAACCAGAATATTTCTGTCCTGCACAGTGCAGGTCCAGCTCCTAGAGCCAGGTGATGATGTTGGAAATCTCAGCCTGCACTGAGAAACTCACTCCTGCTCCCTGTGCCCACACAAGCACACAGCAGAATCGGTCAGAAAGGACCCGGTGCCTTTGAGTATCACCACCCAGAGGCTGAGCTGGGTGTTGAGTACCTTGGGCTGGTGCTCTCCCCTCCCTTGCCCTGCTGCCTCCTCCAGAGCCCACCCCAGCAGTGCCAGCAGCCTGGCTGGATCCCCCTGGGCTGCCCTGAGAGCTCACCCTGCAGTTTCTGCTCTTTCCTTTTCACCTTTCAGCATCCCTCTGGCTTCCCCCCAGGCTTTGCTCAGCTTTGCTGCAGTAGAAAAACCCCCCTGAGCAGCTTTTGTTGTTGTCTGTGTAGGGACAGCACTTTCTGAGGGTGTCAGGGGAGCCTGGAGCTACCCCATGACCCAGCCATGGGCTGAGATCTCCATCCCCACATCAAGGGGCTCCCAAATCCCTGTGCCCACCCTTTTTCAGCCTCCTTGCTTTATCTGGATTGTCCTGCATGGGGCTGCTCCTGCAGGGAGGCTGTGGGGGCTGCTGCACCTCCAGTCTGAGCTTCATCTTGCCTTGGGTTGGGCTGCTTGGCCAGGGGTGCCACCACAGCTGGCTGGGCTGTTGTCAGTTCAGATAAGACCTTTACATCCCCAGTCTTGCTCTGTTTACATGGATTTACTGCCCAGGGTCCAGCTGGATGGACAGACAGCTTCTGGTGTTGGTTTGTTGATTGCTGGTGGCCTCAGCCAAAAGACAGCGACTCCTCGTCCATCAAGCCAAAGTGAAATTTGAGAATTGCCTGTGTCTAATCTGTATTTTATTAAACCATGTAAATATATGTGCAAATCAAGGGCCTCATCCTCAAAGAGCGGAGTTCTCCAGGGTTTCAGCTGGATTCAGGATTTCCAGTTGCAGCTCTGGGAAGTTGCCATGGTTACCATGGTTCTCATTAGGTTTGGGTACCATTCAGGGCAGAAAATGTGTCTGAAGGCATTTTCCTCTTGCCTGTTTTCTCAGGCTCCCCCTCTCCCAGCAGACAAATAGGTGACTGGTTCCCTCCAAGTGGGAATTTTGTGCAGGGATGGATGATTGGTGAATCCATGGGATTTCCAGATGGGAGCATATCCTGTAAATTATCTCTTGCTTTGTGATGTAAAATATACAGTGTTTGCACTAGAATAGAAATTATCATTTTCAATAAAAAGGGGGAAGAGACTCCTCAATCCTTTCTGTGAGCTGCCACATCTGTGCCATGTGTTGGGTGTCCTGGGGTTTCCTGCAGCCTTGGCTGGGGCTGGGAACTCTCTGCAGCCTTTTAGGGGGGATCAGGAGCCCGTGGAGCTTGTGGTTCAGCAGCAGTGCAAGGCAGGAGACATCCACAAAGCCTTCTCCTGGAAGAGATGGAGTTCAGGAGGGATGGAGACACAGCCATGGCTTTGTGCCAGCTCCCTGCACCCCACAGGGCTGGTGGGGCTGAATGTGGGGCAGAAAGGGAGCAGGGAAGGGAGGGAGGGAGGGATGGATGGAGATCCCCCTGTGGGTGCTGGGCATGGCTGACCAGCAGGGACGGAGGGAGAGCAGGAAATGAAGATTAGAAAAGGTTTGAGTCCCATCCCTGTGCAGGAGTGAGCACAGCTGGGCTCAGCAGGGAGATCCCTCCTCTCAGCAAGGCAGGGGGGCAGAGGGAGCTCAGAGGGTCATCAGGGCTCATTAGTGTTAAAGCAGGGTGGGAGTGGGGCTGGGTTTGTCTCCTGAAGATGAGGAGCTGGGCTGGGGTCTCTGTTGGGAGCTGCAGCTGGCTGGGGGGAGATGCTGGGGGGCTTCTGCAGCTTCCCCTCTTGGTCACTGAATGATGGATTCAGGTTTGAGCCAGCTGTTGGGAAGCTGTGTCTGGCTTGGCATCCTATTTCCCTGCTGATCTGCCCTCTGAGCCTCCTGGGCAGGTAAATTTCAGCAGGGCAGAGCCCAGAGTTAAGGGGAGATGGGTATCTCTGCAAGGCCCTCAGCACTCAGCCCAGCTTGCATTCCTTGGAAAGCTGATTATTCCCTCCTCTGAAGCTGAAATAATAATAATATCACCCTCTTGCTTATTATTTCTTTTTGCCAAAAGAAGTTGGCTTGTAAATAGCTTCACTTCCAAGTTGATTTAGAGACTGGAGTGGTTTGGGGAGAGTTGAAACAAGGCTGGGTGCCTATGCCTATTAAGAACTTATTTTTGTTGGACACAGGAGCACAATTTCAACCAACTTTGCCCTGCACACTGTGGTGCTCCCACCATGGACCTGGGTCCTGCTTCAGAGCAAAGCCACATCTCCTGCTCAGGAGGAGCATCTCATCTCCCTCGGGGGCAGCAAAGTGTCCCCATGACTGAGGGTTTGTGTCACAGACATCTTTTAAGAAAATCCTTTCCTTAGGATTTTTGCTCCTGAGAAGCTGGGAGGCCTCAGGAACAAAATGTAAACATTGATTATCTGCTGCTGTGGAATGCAACAGGTGCATCTGTGATTGGTCTC